GAAGGAGAGATGGAGGAAGGGATGGATAAATGGATGGGTGGAGGGAGAAATGGATTGATGGAGGGATGGATGGATAAATGGATGGTAATGAATGAATACATAAATAAATAAAAAGCACTATTTTTTATAAGATTAGCTGTGACTTCAGTGACAATCAAGCTTATAGAAATAATGTGTCCCAATTTTTAACTCATTTCATTTATTTCAGATCGATAGAATCAAACTCAGCCATGACCACATGGACTATGGATCAGGATTTTTTGTTGAAGAGGTTGAAATCGACATTCCTTCAAATAATGATCAATACAAGTTTCCTTGTAATTTTTGGCTGTCACAAGAGCGACATCAAGTGAAACGTGGAAGGAGTTTCTCATCTTCATCACCTGGTATGTAAAAAATCACAGGGAATGTATAGCCTTTGTCCTGAAATGCTTGAATGCGATGCTACTGGGGAAAAGATCTATCCCTTAAATTATGGATCATTGGCAGACAGCTCTTTTGAGCCCTCAATATCGTCATGCATTATTCTCTTTACTTTTATGTGGGCTTGTTGTTTGACCTTGGAGACAACCAAAGAGTTTTAATCCATGGTTCATTGATTTTCCACATTACTAGCATACCTCATACCAGACAGGCACTAGTCAGAATGACAGCACAGATTAATGAGACTTTATGCTTGAGTTAGCACCTCAAGGGTTAAACAACTGATATAAATACTGACATGTTGAATATTATAAAATTATTAGCATTATTAATTAATTATTACTATTACTATTATTGTTATGTTGGATGCCTTAACCACAGGAAACCCACACTAGAAATATGGACAACTTTTAAACTTTTAAAAAAATCAAAATTTAAAATATAAGTTTCTTAAAAGTATGCTTCATGTTTGTCCATGTCAAGTGTTGTGTTGTAGGTTGGTTTCCTAATCGTTAAATAAATGTTTGTTCAACCAGAAAACAATTTATCTTCCGCGCTAATGCCCGAAAGCTAGGAAAGAAATTGTTTTTGGTTGAAGAAACATGTATTAAAAGATGTTTGTCCATGTTGAGGAAAAGAGTTAGAAATAACTAGAAGAGAAAAAAGCTTGAAAAAAGAAAGAAAAGAAGATGAGAGGAGAGAAAATGAGGTTAAAACAAAGAAATATATTTCCCATAATTCTGCACAGAGCATTTTTGTTCCCTGTCTTTTCTGGATGATTTTTTTTTTAACTTATCTTTTCTTATTTTCCAGGTAAACTCTACAATGTTGCCATGCAGCTTGGTCGAGTCATGAACCCTCATGCCAAACTTTACCTCCAGCTATGCGGTGATTTGGGAGACAGTAGTAAGATTGTCCTACGACCTACTGGCGGACCCACAGACACATTCCAGGAAGGAAAAGTTTACAAGTTTTCAGTGGAGATGCCATCCGTTGGCCAGGTAACCGATGACTCATCAGCCTCCAATGGTCTTAGGGATGGACCATTAGAATATTGAGGGGGGAGGGGGTGCAAGAATTTATGTTGAACGATATTTATGTTTTATAACAGCCCCWCCACGTGATTTTTTCGTGTCTTTGCTCGATATGTTCTTACTAAAAGGAGAGGTTGYGCGATATTTTTTTTTCGTAGGGGAAGTGCTTGCTCAATATTTTTTTGGGGATTTACTCAACTCCCCCATCAACTATCTAATGGTCCGTCCCTTTAACATTCTAGGATCCCTTGGTTGCGTAACTTAAAACCTTAAAATAAGAAAAAAAAACTTCAAATTTTATCTGGGCTGATGAAAGTCAGGGCACAGCTTACTCAAAGATAGAATTGGAATTTAGTGTTTTAAGTATGCAGAGGGAGGAAAACCGGAAAACCCAGATAAAACATTATCAAAGAAAGGAGATACCTTACAAACTSTACTCACATGTGATGCTGAGTTTAGGAATCAAACCTGAGACCCCACCAATCAAGGGAGAGACCTAACAAACTGTACTCACATGTGATGCTGAGTCCTGGAATCAAACCCACACCCCACCAATCAAGGGAGAGACCTTACAAACTCTACTCACATGTGATGCTGAGTCCAGGAACCAAACCCACACCCCACCAATCAAGGGAGAGAC